AGATGAGACGCGAAAGGCGTTGGTCCGAGAAGTTGAAGAAGAACGCAATGAGAGTTTCGAACAAGGTCGTTTCTGAAGGATGGCGAGATGCTGCGTCGCATGAAGTCCACAGAACCAAGGCGGAACAATGGGGGGTGTAAAGCGGATGAAGGGGGTCTTCGGGAGCGTTTTAGGACGAATATCCACCTTAGAAGCAAAGCAATATAGAGGATGAATCTAATTTTTTGAAACCGATTGGCTGCCGAGGCCTAGAATTAACGCCGCAAAGGAAAGGATAGGGGGGTGGTTCGAGGGGCCGGCGGTCTCAAGAACGGACGACAAGACTGCACTGGCGTTGCAATAGGTGAACAGGGATTTTAGGTCGACATGCCATTCGATGATTGAGTTTGGAAGAACCGAGATGGGATGCGACACCGGGCTGGGCTAGGTTAAGCAGGATTGAAAGCTTCGGGACGAAGAAGCGGAAGAGAGTGTGATAAAGAAAAGAGGGGGGAAAAATTGGACTGGAAGGATTGAAGTGTGTGCAAATTGCAAAGTGACAGCGATGCACCGATTATATGACAAAAGAGGTCGGAGAAGAAATGTTGGTCAAGTGAGGGAGGGAGTAAGAGAAGCGGGCGGGAAAATGGCGTGTGAAGGCTTGTTTCGCGCGATTCTGGTGGTGGGGGTGAGAGTCTGTGGTCAGCCTCTTCTTCTTCTTCTTCTTCTTCTTCCTCCGGACCTCATCCTTCTTATCTTCTGAGGCTGCTTCTCTCACAGCGATCGGCTGGAAGACTCGAGCTCGTAAGAGACATCCGGAGGAGACTCACTGAGCGCACAGGACTGGACGGCCGGTAGTATGTATATTGGAAGGTTTGGAAACGAGTCGAGGTGGGAAAAGCAATGGTGCACCGACGGGGTCGAGATAGAGGTGAGTGATTGTTGGATAGTCGAGTAATAAAGCAAAGATAAGGGGAATGAATGAATGTACAACTGCCAACAGCCAAGTGGCGAGTCAAAATGAATGGGAGAACAGCCGTGTAGGACGGGTATCTCAGCGACGTGGAAGATAGAACATCTGCACTACATCCGAGGCCAATTGGCGTAACAATGGCAGCGAAAGGGGGATGAGAGTGAGAGTGAGAGGGAGGGAGAAGGAGGGGACGAGGCGACGCGAGAATTGAGGGTCAAGACGGAGCGACGTGCGAGGCCATCAGGCCATGCAGTTATTGGCGAGCATGGGACTACTACTACCTCTGAGCAGGCTGAGATGAGATGGAATTATTGGAACGAGCCAGGGTCGATAAGCATGGATAGGCCCATGGGGTGGGTGGGACTGAGGTAGGCAGGGTAGGTCTACAAGAACAGAGTCGAGGCCGAGGGGGGGGCCTGGTCAAGAGAAAGAAGACGAGGAGAAAGCATCTAGAGGGCCATGGGGAAGATTACAGCGACAAGGACAACGACGGGGACGACGACGACGACGACGAGCTGAAGACGTGGGAGAAAAGGAGAGCACAAGAGAGAGAAAAGACAGGACCTATGCATACAGATAAGGTACCTATGCACGTACGGATACGCACATACATAACACCACCTACCTGGCCTATATTACGGTTCTTTCCTTGAGCTTCGTGGATGCTCCACAACATATTGGGAAGGCAAGTCAAGTCCACTGACGAAAATGACAAGCAGACTGCGCAGGAGTGGATGTGGGTGCGGACCAGGTCCGTACTCGTTGTTGTGCTGTGTTGTTATTGTTGTCATCGTCGTCGTCGTTATTGTTGTTGTGTGTGGTCAGCGCAATTTTGCAATCCTGGGTGTGATTTCTTGTATGGCACGTCGCAACCGTTCAACGGGCTGGTGGCTGCAGCGGGATGCGATGCGATGCAACTGTGACGGGAGCAATGCAATGGGCAGGAACCACATACCACCCCCCCTGGCTTCTGAGATTGTCTAAATCGGGGGGAAATCCAGCGATCATGACTGCGATTGGGAAGCGAACCAAAAAAAAAAAAAAAAAAAAAAAAAAAGATGTCATGGAGGAAACGAGAAGAGCTAGCGTGTGTCGACATGGGAATAAATTGAGCCAGGCCTGGGGAGAAGACGGGTCCAGCCACGGCACGGTGGAGAGACGACCGACTGTCGGGAGATGCACGCAATCTGACATTTTGTGAGACCATCTGTTTCTTCTTTGCAGGCGCCGGTCCTTGTGTCGCAAAACCATGTCATGAGGTGTTGAGTGAGATGCTCACTTGAGTCACTTCACACACATGCTCCCTTTTTCTCTGTTAGTAGTGTTATGCGTTACAGAAAGCACCGGTTTCGAATCCTCAGCAGGGAAAGGAGGCATGCCATCCAGCAAGGAAGACCCAGACAATAGGTAGCCACCTCAACGCAGCGTCCACTGCAGAACAGACGGAGACCTGACTAATCCGACTGACCGCACTCGGCTAGAGTCATATAAAGACGATCATTGGAGAACAAAAGCAACTAGCGCGGGAAGGAAGAACGGGGGGGAAGGGTCTTGTCTTGGACAAACGAACCTGTAACGTCGCGCCGCCGGTCTTTTTTTTGGCCGTTAGTTATTGTTAGAGTAAGTACGAATATATTAATACCTATTGTATACCGGTGCGACTCGATACCCAACTCGGTCACAAGCGGCGATACGTGGATGCTCCTTCCCCTTTCTTGCCTCTTGCCTAGTAGTGTACGTAGTACACCAAACACTAATATTAGAGAAGGAACCGCAGGCCGGGACTTCCCAGCACGAGTCAACGAGAGGGCCTTCCCTGCCTTTTTTTCAGGAAACAAAAATCACTCAGTGAAACAGCGGCGGGCTTAACCAAGATTACCAACTGGTGGCTTTCGATCTTGGGAGGCGAGTGGTCAACCTTGTCCACCTACCAGGCACGAAGGGTTTTCGGTTCCGACCATACGAATTGCTTTCCAACAATGACCCCCCCTTGGTTTCCCGTGTTCCAACTGGAAGGTTGCAACGCCATCCGGACAAGGCGCGACCGGGGGGTGGGGCGGAACGCTCATCTCAGTTGGGACTTGTGGCAGCTCTTCAAATCGCCCGCTAACGCTCTTTGGTCGACGAGAAGTGGGGAGCGTTGAGCCATCTGGGTAGGAAAGAACGCTGAGCATGAGAGTTCCTTCCAGGGGGTCGGGTCCAAGGAGATAGACAAGCAGGAGCAGTTGCTTCCAATTGCTTGCACCTGCTCCTGTCCTGCACACTACGCCCCACCAGGACAGACGGATGAACGAGCATCCAGGGGCGGAAGGAACGGATGTCCAGCGGAAAGGAAGGAAGCAGTTTCTCCCGCTAATCCATCTTGGGCCGCCGCCCAGCTTGCCGTCTCTCTCTCTCTCCCTCCAACATCAAAGCAGTACTCCGTATGAAGCCGGCAATTTCCTCGCTGCGCTGATCATACCCTTCGAGGCCAACTGTTCCTTGCGCCATCACTCACTCCCCGGTCCGTCCTTCAACGCCCTTCGACGTTTGGACTTGCGAGACATGGGTTGACTTTCCAAGCTGCCACTACCCTTCCTTCCCCACGCAACCGCCTTTCGGTGATCCCTACCCAGCCCGCCGCCCAACGTTGTGCAAACACACGTCTCAAGTTAATAACAATGGAATTTCCACCACAGTTCGGTCTTCCCTCCCCCCACCTGTGCCATGTGCGTATGGAGCAATGCTGACTAGTCAGCACAGGGGCCAAGTCTCTGGACTAAGGGCTTATAGCGAGCGGTCCAATCCACGGCTCACCGCGGGCTCGAGACACCCGTATGACCTGCGCTATGGCCTCTCGTGTCGCAATGTCTTGTCATCGCCTTACCTCCTTCCTTTTTTTTTCCTCTATTACATTGACAATGTCGATCCTCGCGCTCTCGGCTGCCCTCCCGGCCCTCCGCCCAAAGAAGCGCGACATCACGATCCCAGTAATGACCAAATTTCCTGACAGTAGCTTCCCCTGCTGTCAGTGGTCACCCCACGTCGCGTCTACACTATAGAAACGTGTATGTATACAGGCCACCACATATACCGACTGCCAATCCTTCGGGGGGACTGTGCACGCGCGCGCACAAGGACCTTCCCCCCTTACTGTATATGTCTAGACCCCAGAGACAGCACCGTAAACGCCGCTCGTGTCTGGATCAAGAAAATATGTCCCCAAATAACCTTAGGCTCGAACTGCCGCTTCCCGTCAGCCGCGCCATCTTGAGGCCAGAGCTTCCGACGTATCGCCTACTATAGTCATGAAAGTGGCAAGTCGCATCAGCTGTCTGGATTCGAAGCACATCCGGCTTCCTTCTCCCTCGACCATTGGGTGCTGCGAAGTCAAAGTGACTCAGGAGTCGAAACTCGAGGAAACCGCCATCAACCTTGTGTCGCCTACCATGGTTTCGTCTGTCATGCTCTGTCGCATGTTTGATGCACCTTCCACGAGTGTCACCACACTCACGCCGCTGATCGACCAGAAACAAGCCACGAAAAGGAAAGAAAGGAAACTTCCAGCACACAACGTCCACACATCAGACCGTCTCTAAACGCCTAGGGCGATCTGCTCCTGGTCCGACGACGGGCAGCAGACGCAGGCACACGACATCACAGTGGAGGGGACAGGATGTTGGACTTGGAGATTGCGCGCCTCGCTGCTCCCCGCATCCGCGCCTGCACGCTGCATTTGCTGCGTCGCTGATTGGTCAGCCCGCAATGCATGGAGCCAAAGACTCGAAAGTGTCCCTCGGTTCCAACAAGCCAACTTCGCTTCCTCATCTCGCGCAACCAACAAACCGGATGTTCCGTGGGACTCCCGCGATAGGATCTCTCATCGAGTTCGGCCATTGGCCCCTTTCGTATTGGCTCTCCCGTCCGCTCGCTCCCAACATAGCCTCCCGAGAGGCGGGTCATCACCCGCTGTCTGTTCGCCAGACCCAAGAACCCGCGTCTTGTCTCGGAGGTTGCATGGCACGGATGAAGGATTCTGTCTTCACCTTCCGGTTTCTAGTTCCTACGCCGCAACCACCTTAGCATGCGCTCTCGCTTCTCGTAGTCGGCCAGCTCTAAATGTCGTTTAGTCGACGAGCTTCTCAAACCGGCACGTTTGCTGTTGGGCGCCGGAAATGCTTGCCAAAGTACCCTGGCCGACACCGAGACAGCTGGTCAAATTTGGCTGGTCTGCTACCGCAAACTCTCGCGCAGATGTTGCTCTTTCAGAAACCTGTTCCGTCAATGGGGTGAGAGATTAACGGCTGTCCGGGATCGGACAAAGATGCTGTGCTAAGAAGGCAGTCTAGGCAGTCCCCAAACGACCGGGAATCATGGCTGTTCGTGAGGGGAAATCCCAACAACGATGGTCCCTGTGCCTGACGACGGAACGAACAGATATCAACGGCGCATTTGACTAGTGTAGACCAGTTGGAATGGAGCTTGTGTGAGATGACAAGGACACGCAAGCCGATGTGGCGGCGCCGGAAGCTTGTAAGCCTGCCGAGTGGTTTGCACGGCATTCAATCTTGCTTACGCGGTCATGGCTCCATGTTGAGGAATGGAATCCCTTGTGAACCTGGAAGGGGCTGCACAATGATCCAGGCTCCCGTTCAGAGACCGGGCCGTATCCCGCACCACAGCATATACATATTACATAGTAAGTACTCCAGCTCAACTCAGCCCAACACAGGGTTCTTGCAGTTCAATGCCCAGGCACAGGGAACATGTCCCGTGTGGCATGGCCAGGGCACGCCTGAGAGCAAACATCGCGGGGAGTGGGGCTGTCCATACGAAATCTGCCCCAGGCTCATCGGCTCACACCAATCTAATACTCACACGCGTATGTGAACAGACGTGCAGAAACGACGTGCAGGAACGACGTGCAAGAACCGCGACAAGGCCTGCTAGACTGATGAGATGTGCGATCGAGAATTGACGAGATGCCCAAGTATCAAGCGGCCAGTCACAGGGCTCCAATTGTAATTGTCGGGTTACAACACATTGTGTCTAATACTACGAGGCCCGCTATTCAGTGTTCCAGACTGCCGTTTATTCAACGGAACCATCAGGGGGGAAAGGGGGGCTGAAGAGCTTCGACTACCCGATTGTAATGCCCGGCCCGTATTCACTAGTTGCTCGCCTTCCACCACATCTCCCACCCGACGACCAGACGCCACCCGCACGTCCCAGAATTTACACGGAACGACAATGTAGTCGGGACTTGGTGTAAATTCTGAAGCCTCGCTTGGGGCCGGGGGAATACACGATGACAGACAACGCCACGGAGGACATCCTTTACTTACCTCAGTCAAGCCACGGTACATTGGTGGCGGCCGCCGGCCCGAGTCCCTTTTGGCCAAAGCGGAGCATCTGCAGGTCGACTCTAGTATCACGTTCGCTTGTGATGACAAGCCCCTCTGAGCCAATGCACGACTACTTCACAACGCATGTGCAGGGGGTTGATAACTTCAGCAAACACATGCTGTGCAGTCACGCCTCGGCGTCACCCATCAAGCAGAACCGGCTGGCACAAAAACGCGGAATTGGGGAGCAGAAAGCATATCCTCGTACCTAGGGTGCAAAGTGGGTCTTCGGTACAATCCCTCGCACGGTCTTTGAACGCAATTAACATCACGAACTGGCGGGAGTGGAGCTCTGCTATGACAGGACCAAAATATACTACGAGCATGCCAGACCGTGTGCTATATCGGTCGGCGGCTCGCGACCTAACCGATGCGAGCAGTCTGAGCGCTTGTCTAGGAGATTATCACCGGCACCCCGTCGCTCACCAAAGCAACATCGCGTCGCACTACATTGTACGAGCCCGCCAAACCCCTCTCGTGTGAAAGATGGTGGGGTGGGAGGTCATTTCCCAATGTTCCCCTCATCTCTTTGTCAACCGTCTTTCTGCAAACTCTCCATCTGCTCGAGAACCTAGCTGTTTTTGTAGCGTTTCAGACGATTTTACCACGTGTGCGACAGTACAGGAGGAATGGTTCAGCCACTGGAGGCAGGTACGTTCAGGTAGTGTCGTCTTTGGCCTCGAATCGGAGCTTGGACGTGCGAACGCCGCGTGCAGGTGCGGGAGGAGGAGGGCGGCCAGATCTCCCCTATTGCCCGAACCGAACGGCGTGAGCGCCGTCAGTGCATGTTTGGGAATGATCGGCACATCGTCACCCTGATCTTGGAAGTGGTCTCTTTCCCCTCTCCCGCCTTGCGGTTGGTATAAGGGAGTGATGAGGTCGGCGGGCTGGCGGTTCGCAGCTCGCTTGCGAGCAAAGCTTCAGCCGGGTTGCAGCATCGAGCAGGGGAAGCCGAGGCTGCGAACCTGCAAGGAGGGCGTCTTCCGCATATGAAGTGCGAGCGCCGCTTACGCGCCAAAAATTAGACGGGCGAGATTACGTCTGTAGCCGCTGAGCGGATATACGACGACGCACGACTCGATGAGGTCGGTATATTCGGGCGCTGGGGCGAAACGGATCATCAACTGCCGCAGAAAGGCCTTTGCGAAAGACCTGGTCAGCTTGTCAGGACGACGCAGAACACAGAGCCTAGTTCCGCGGCCTGGTCTACTTTTCAGCGGCGGCCGCTCCCAGGTTCTTCATGCTGCTCACTCAGATATCAGTCAAGAATGGATGAGGAAAGCCTCTTGTGCGCGGAGCAATATCTCCGGCGCGGGTCTCGCTGTGCCCGCAGGCAGGTCAGTCGGCCCGCCTCCTCTTGGCGATAGCCTTGAAAAGGCGAGAAGGGGGCTTAAATTCCAGATCCAGAACGTTCGAGAAAGCAGACGGCCAATGGTTGTGAATATGTTCCCCGTCTATGTTTTGGCGAAGGGACGACCTTTGGTGAAAGGCCTTGGAGTCGGGCGTGGGTTGGCCGTCATATATCGCCGTGTGTTTACGCCCCTTTCTGTTATACCAGTCGAATTCTGGATAGTGCCCTGAATGGAATAAACGAGAAATGAAAGTTGATGCAATATCCATTCTTGCGTGCTTCTTCGAAAATGGAAAAATACCATGATTACTCAAGACGAACGCGCTGGTGCTGTATATTTTTATCGCTCGTTATAACCGACATAGCGTTGATATTTTCAACTAGACAGCATATAAGGGGAGCAACTATGCAACCTCCCTTGTGTAAACCATAGTCGTACCGCCCCCCGGGCTAGGATGCGTGAAGCATTACAGTTCTGCACCATATCCATCTCTTGTAAAGGGAGTGAGGCGTCGCGTATGACTATTCTGCCCTCGGCTGGAAACTGGCGTCAGGGTAGACGGAAATGCTGAGACAAGTCTCCAAGACGGTCCCTCTTAGGGTCCGCAAAGGTACACAATGATACTCTAACACAGTCGGAAAAACACAGTATAAGTATCATGACCGGTAGTCAACATAAGAATATTGGACAATGTCAGTTGATTTATCCCCCCTCCCCCCCCCTTTGACGAGACCAGTCAGGGTATCCGATGTCATTTCATGTTGGGATATTGGGCGGGTTCGCCATCATCTCATCCATCGCCATGTGAACCTTGACCTCGGCCGTCCAGCTCCTCGCAACGACGCGGAAGCAAGGTTTCGGAGGGAGGAGGATGGGGGGTGGGACCTGGTTTCTGGAGGTGAGACCTCATTTGGGACCCTTGATGCCTGGGCAGCCCACTAGATTGTGGGAAGGGGGCGAAGGCGGCGAGGCGTAGGGAGCCTGCTCTGAAAGCCGAACGTCGAGGTTGCCTCGCACGTTGCTGGGCGTCGCTAGAGAGGGAGCTCACTTCTTCTGCCCTCCTCTTGGGGAGGTATGTACGGGCGAGTCGGGGAGATGGGTTGCGGAGGGGTCTGCAAATGGTCATCGCCCTGACGCAGCGAGAGGTACGACTTGGGGGGGGGCTTCCTCGTTCATCATGCTGCTGTGTGTTTGTTTGGTGAGTCGTCTCCCGGAGCGGATGCAGTTGTCTCAGCTGTACGCGCAGAATCCTACCCCCTGGTTCGTTTTTCTTTCTTTTTCTTTTTCTTTTTTGGTCATGCGGATCTTGTTTTCTTCGTTCTCGGGTCCCGCCGATACTGGTGTGCTCCCCCCAAAGCGTCGCTGTCTGAGAGTGGCAAAGTTATCTGGGGGGGTTTCCCTACTCGGAGGCGTACCGTTCGTCCATGTGACACGCGGCCACGCCGGCTTCCGCCGTGTGACGTGGCCATGAATTTGTCTCCATGTACACGGCGGGAATGGTCGCTACCCACACGCCGTACATGACGCATCGTGTCCGAAAAGGCACGTCAAGAACGGCCGTGCCGTCCTCGAGAGGTGACGTCCGGTGTTGCCAGGATGCCAGAGATTGCCCTCTTGCAGCGTCAGCAGTCTTTTTGGTGTCGTGCGCAGACAACGACCCAGATGCCGTTTGCCTGACGTCAAAAAGTTCGTCTGGTCAGCCTGGCCCGCCCGACGGGTATTGTCTCACTCGGCCCCTCCCGGACCCGGTGTGGTGGGCGGGCGGGGCGGGGTCGGGAGGTGGACCAGTCAGCATGCACCCGCGTGCCCCCTTGGCGTTTGCCGAACCCCGCCTTACGCCAACCTCATGCATCGCCTATGCCGTGATCGCCTCTCTCTCTTTCTCGGTCAAACCGGCGCCTGACGGTATCCCAACCACGCCAGTCTCTGCCACTGCTACAGTCGATCCCTGGCTGCCGCGAAACAGCTCACTCCGACAATTGGGAATCCGAGGCGAGACCGTCGTCGCAGGCCATGTCCGGCATCGGGGGTGACCTCCCCAACATCAGGGCGGAGGACCTGCGCAACCTCAAGGCCCTGACGTTCGACGTCTTCGGCACGACCGTGGACTGGCGCACCTCGGTCGTCGAGGAGCTCGCATGCCGGGCCCGGGCCCGGCTCTCGGGCTCCCCCGCCCTCGCGGCCGAGGACAGGGACAGGCTCGCGGCCGCGGACTGGGGCCGCTTCGCGCAGGAGTGGCGGGACTCGTACAAGCGCTTCACGCGGGGCCACGACCCGAGCTCGGCGCCGTGGAAGGACGTCGACACTCACCACCACGACAGCCTGGTGGCGCTGCTGGCGGCCTGGGGGCTGGGCGGCGTGTACGGGGACGGGGAGGTGCGGGAGTTGAGCGTGGTGTGGCACCGCCTCCGGCCGTGGGCGGACTCGGTGGAGGGTCTGCGGCGGCTGGGCGGGCGGTTCGTGACGGCGACGCTCTCGAACGGCAACGGGGCCCTCCTCCGGGACCTGGACGCCTTCGCCGGGCTCGGGTTCCGGGTGCTGCTCTCGAGCGAGGACTGGAGGGCGTACAAGCCCGATCCGGCGGTGTACGACGGCGCGGTGCGGGCGCTCCTCGGGGAAGGGGGCCGGGCGAGGGAGGTGGCGATGGTGGCGTCGCACCTGGGGGACCTGATGGCGGCGAGGGGCAGGGGGATGCGGACCGTGTACGTCGAGAGGCCCGGGGAGGAGGACTGGGAGAAGGGCGGGGAGGCCTTTGAGGACGCGAGGGGGTGGGTCGACGTGTGGGTCGGCGAGGACGAGGGCGGATTCGAGGAGGTCGCGAGGCGCCTGGGTGCTTGAAGCGCGGGCATGTTGCTGCGCCGGGGGCTTAGGCAGAGGGAGAGGAGGATGAAAAAGCGACGAGTGTATGTGATGAGCGAGCTGCTGGAAATATGAACATGCTTTCCAAAATCCGGGAGAGCGTTGGCCTCGGACACTGTCATACGTTCCCGCCTTTACTATCCATCCAAGGCGGGATATGTCTGTCGAAGGCAACGATCCCAGATAAAAGGAAGGGCGAAGCATCCGGGGGGCTGGAAGCGGCAGAGGAACCGCCTAGACACAAGAGTATCTTCGTTTTTACCGGGCCGAGTCAGAACTACGAGGATGAAGAGCGACTACGGGAAGGGAGCGCTCTTTCTACCGGGCTTCAACATCCGATGACACTGTATCTGTTGGGGACATCTCTGACTGGCCACCTCGTGAAACAGTGGGTAATTTGCCAGAGGGAAGGAGGGGCTCGCGGCCGATTCGTGCGTGCCTATAGAGGGAAACGTGGTCGAAGATAGTAAAAGGGGGTGGGTGAGGGCATTCGCGGACGGCCCGGCCCAGCCCAGCATCGAAGGGTTTGCTTTCTGACAGCGAACACGAAATACGCAGTGGCGTCTTCGCGGGCCGCACATCCCATCACCTCCGTGACTTCCGGCCGCATCAACTCGGCCCAGTGTGGTCGAGTTTATCGAACGAGCTTTGGTGTCCAAACATGCAAACACAGTCTCGGATGCACAACGCGTCCAGATCACATGGCACGTCGAGTTTCTCGTGGTTATACTCGAGTCATTCCGAGCACTGGAGGGCCCATTTGAGACGACCTGCAAGCCATCATAAAGCCGTCTATGGCTGTGGCAACCCCCTTCGAGACTCGTCGGTCCTGCGAACCCTGACGACACGGAATAGAGCTTCACATCGCTCCAAACGTCTCTATTCTACTGCCCTCTCTTCACAGTGGAATAGAAGACAACCTGACTACCTTTCGAGCGTGTGTTTTCCAGCCCCTATCAAGCCTCACTCGCCCTATAAAACGCAGTAGAAGCGGCGGCAATCGCCCATTCCGCACAAGAGGTTCCCTTTCAGATCTGGGCGCGGACCCCCCCTTCGCACCTGCTATTCCGACTCTCGGGCTCGCGAGTTTCCAAAAATGCGATTTTGATTAATCCATGCAGACGATCATATCCAGGCTTCGGCGATTAGGGTCCCGGAGAAAAGAGCACCACGTGTGGAGCAAAGATGTACGTGACTCGGGCTGGCAGGTATGTTGTGGACTCCCAACTTTATTCCAACCTTCGTCAAGGTCATGTTGCCTATAACCGAAAACCGATCAAGCGAATACGCCTCTTTGTCAACTAGGCTTGCACCGCAAGCGAGGTGTTCTGCACTCCGTTCCCTGGCGAGATTCGATGATGACGACTTCGGTGATGGTGAGGCCGAGAAACAAAAGACGCTTATGTATCTTGGCATTCATTCACCTGTCAACACGGCAGGCCGAGTTCCGTCCTCTTCGGCTCATCCGTCAGTTCCTTGGCAAACTATCTAGACTCTCTGTCTCCGAGGCTCCTCAGACCCGAGTAGCCCCAATAATGAATCGAGTGCCTATCACGCCGCATACAGCTCCCTTCTTGCGCCGCAACCACCCAACAGGTTGCCCAGAAGCTATCCCAAAGCAACCCATCCCCGCACCCCTGGGGCTCCCGCGTCACAAACCGGCCCAAGCATCAAACTAAGTCGTGTCAAGCATCGAGGGCCACGTTCCAACGCATGAGCCAAGACAAAGGGCCGCGTCTCCAGGCAATCGGGATCACGCTTTGCAGAAACCTTATATCTCGCGGCCCCTGAAAGGGGGGGGGGGGGGGGGCAGGTCGCGATGCCAACCCCTGATCCCGCCAAATACAGTTTTTTTTTGCTCAAAAACCTTGTGGCACGCGAGCTTATTATGCGCGCTGCGGGCTAGGAAAAGACACTTTCGGATAGCGTGTCGTACGTCCACGTTCGGTCCCATGAGTTGACGGCGACACATCGACTCGCTTTTGTGGTCTCTTCCTCGACCCTTGCACACAGTACCCAACTCCCTAGGAGCAGCCGTTCTCGCCGAAGCCGACAGCGTAGCACCCTGTGCTGTGATAAACGTGTCTATCACAGCACGCTTTGTCGAGGCAGGTCCTCCCCGGAGAGCAAGGGGCATGGCCCGTAGGTAGGCAGGTAGGTGTAGAGGGCGGACTCCTGCAAGCACCGATCGGCGCCTGCAACACACGTCACAGTCGCATCGGGACGAGGTTCTGTCTGGTCTCTCGTATGACCCCGAGGCGGGAGAGGCGGGAGCGCCGAGAGCAAGCTTCGGTTGGCTTCAACACGCGCTATGTGCATGGTTGTTTTTTTACACCTCCGGCCTGCAGTCCCGATCATCGGCGATCATCGGCGCTTTTCGGCGGCCAACCTTCTCGATGGGTCCCTCGGCCCTCCCGTGTGCGTGGAAGCGCGTCGCCCCCTTCTCCCCCGCCGCCGGCCGCGGTGTCCAAAACTCCAACCGTTCCAAAGCGTTGGGGTCGCGGCTGAGAGGCCCTTGGCTTTCGCAATTACAGACTCGACGAGCGATCCCCCCCCTTTTCTGCCGTAGTGTGTGGGGGGAGGACGTTGAGAGCCGTTGAGCGAACGCCGTTGAGGTCTGTACAAGCACCACGCACACACATCGTCATCATAACCTGTCGCTACCGGGGCGACCGTCGCACTGTCGAGTCGCCGCACGTCGGCCTCGCCCGCTCGCCCCTCTTGGCGGATGGGATGCGAGTAGCCAAGAGGGCGTCCCCCCCCCCTGACGTCCTCCGCACCTCTTCCGCGCAGGGAAGAACCCGTTATCACGAATGCATATTCATCCCACGAAGCACCGGCGAACCCTGCAGGGCACACACGCCCCCCACGTGGGAATGACCGCCCTATCGGTGAGGCAAGCTGCGGCACAGAACCATATGCGTATGCACATGGTGACAAGGCAAGGCCCCTTTCTCTTTTGGCTTGCTGCCGCCGACGATACCTAGTCGTGTCGCGTAAAGGTCACGGTAGGCAGGGTACCGCAGTCGCAATGCCATTTTGTTTTGAGTTCGGACTAGCAGTTCGGAGTCTGTAGGCGATTGGCTCTCGCCGATTGACGTGAGACAAAACGTCCCAACCTCCGCAGTCCGGGTTCCAGAACAAGCAGCCGGTCGACCTTACCCCCCCGTTAATCGATGTGTGAGTGAAATCGTATTATGTTAGCTTCGCTCGTTGGTTCTCGGAGCCTGAATGCGACTGGGTTCGAACAGCATCGTTAGCATCAGTCCGCAAGCCGGGGAATATACAGGCCCCGATCTTCGAGCGAGGGTGAGCCTCCAGGGAGCCGAGGTTTCGAATTGGGAGACAGATCGAGTGCAGTGAGCAATCAGCCACGACCCCCCCCCTCCTACGGTAAGGATGACTCGGCAGAGGCACCGGGGAGAGCTTCTCGGCGCCCGTCTTACTCTCTCCCCTCGCGACTAGAGCCGTCCCAAACTCTGTGGGCGGCCGGATCTCAGCTCCGGGGACGGTGATTGGCGGGCTCCGTCCGAGAACCCGTAACACGAGGACGCGCACATGGGTCGGACCCCGCCCTCCTCCACCCGGAAGGAAGACGGTAGGAATACCGGAGTGTCCAACAGCCATCCGGCGATCCCCCCCACCTCCTTCACTTGCCGCAGATAGTGAGAGTGAGAGTGAAAGATGGTGGAAAAAGGCGCCGCATGGCAGTGCGAGCAAGGGTCCTGACTCGGGTCTCTTACGAGGCCGGAAGCCCAGAAGCGCGCGCGCACGCACACACACACACACAAACACATACACCCCCAGGCGGACTTTGCTATTGCGACTGCCTATGATAATGCCTAGCGGACGAGCGTGCAAAGCACCTTCCACATCGGGGAGGGCATACGATTCAAGTTTGAAGATCATGTGCCCAGGTCGCCCGGCGCGCGCGAAGGGGGGAGGTGAAGAGGGCCGAACGCTTCCTCGTTTTTTGGGGCCCCGGGATAGGTAGATAGCGAACGGGGGGCCGTATTCGGCGACTGCTAACGAGTCGCAAAGGGGGTTGAACAAGCAAACAGATAAACAAAGGAAGAAAAATTGACTAGGGGAAAAGAAAAGAGAGAATAGTCAACGGTCTCGATGCCGATCCTCGGTCCATCTCACCTGACACTCGTCGGTGGGAACGTCCGTTTAATCTGGGAAGCCCCCCCAAAACGGGATACTTTCTGAAGGTCTGTCTCGCTTGCCGGTGATCTGCAGACTGCAGAGTCGTCGAGCACGTTTTCTGTCGTAGCCAGACAATGCTAGCAATATCTTCCCTCCCCCTTCATCTTCGGTGACCGGCCCTTCTTGGTGTGGGACATGGGCGACCTGGGGTTTCATACAGACAGCCGGGGTGACAAAAAAGCCAAGTCGTAGCTTGGAATTCGAGGACCGAGGCGAAATGCGGTGTGGCAGAAACCAGGGCCGGGCAACTTGGTACTTGCTTGCATTCTTCAACGAACGGCACAGGAACCCTCCTCCCTCTCCTCCACCCCCTAGCTCTTCGTCGCATCTGTGTACGCCTGGAATGCCTGAAGATGTGCCGACGTCGGGCCGTTGTGTGATAATGTGGATGATGGGCCGAAGGATCAGGGCGAACGGCTCGGACGGACGGCTCTCTTCCCCCAGTGTGTGTGTGATGTGTTGCTTAGGAAAAAGGCTCCATCTCGTCCTCAATGACACCCTGCGGAGGCACGGCGAGGCGAGAGAGACCCAAGGGGATGGACGGGCAGACCAAGGTGGATGGGACGGCAAAAAAAAAAAAAAAAAGACGCGCACGCTGCGGGATGCCGTTGGTTGGGGTTGGGTTTAAGATCATCCCCCTTGTCTGAGCAGGCCTTCTTTCTCGCTTCTTGTTCTTCCTTTTTTGCACCTGCACCTGTCTCATTAGCGAACCCGGCGAGTAGATGCTGGGCGTGGTTGGTGCCGATCGCCAGTCCTACACCGACCTCTCTCACCTTCGACTCACACCCCATTTCCCCCGAACTTATGGCGTTCGGTGGTTTCTTATACCGAACCGGACCAGGAGGGCTCTCTCTTGGAGCAGGGTGAGAGAGGGGGGAAGCGGAGATGGTGTACGCGTGTGTGCGTGTGTGGCGCACGTCGTTGGTTGACAATGAGCAAGAACACGATGTGCATAACCATCTCCTGTACTCCGTATTGCAGGAGGAATATGTAACTCCTGCCCCCCCCTCCCAGTCCAGCCATCCCGGCCAGGCCAAGGTAGACGACAGTGTGAAGAGAGGAAGATCAGGGACCCAGAGACTGTCGAATGGCGCCGGCCCCTCCTCCGGATGCACGGGCATCACGACGGCTCCAGCTCCCAGAGTTCCATGGGCTCGGTCTTGTTCCCCTCTGTGTGTCCCTCACGCGAGTGTCTTTCGATTCTGATCTTTTGCTACCAGCCTCTCCAACGCAACCATCGAGCGCCGGTTGTCGCAACGCGCCCATGTCTTCTCCCCAGCCCTTGCGGTCCCGAGGGATTCGCATTTACGGGAGTCGAGAGTCCGCGGGCTACGTGTCAGAAATTCGGGACGAGACGCCACCAATTTCATGGAAGCTTGGGGGGCCTGCCACGCAAAGCTAGCTAGCTTGATACCCTGATACCCTGATACCTTGACAGCTAGCTGGCTGGCTCAGAGAGTAGCCAGCACCACCCTCAGCCCTCACACATACACACACACACACTCTCTCTCTCTCTCTCTCTCTCTCTCTCTTCCCTCCCCCTCCTCTTCAACCGAGCACTCGGAAGTTACCAGCAGGGTCTTGAGTCGTGTTTGCATGTTGTGCGCCCATGCGAGGGATGCGCGGCTCCTATCCTCCACAAATTTGTCATTGACGACTCCGCCGTCATGGCCCGGTGGGAACGATGGGGGGGCCCTTGATTCCCTCTCCTGCTTTCGTTTCTGATCAACGTCTCCAGCAGACGAATGCCCTTTGCATGCCGAACTGGATACCTCAGGAGTGCCGGCGTGAAAGAGGGGGGGGAGACCCTGGGGCCACTTAAACTAGCTGAATCCGCTTGCCTATGGGTCAATATTCCTCTCTTGGCCCCTCTCTTTCTATCGTGCCTTGCCCGAAAGAGAGCAGAGGGAAGGTCCGTGTCCGAGGTGAGGGGGTCTCGAGAGAGACGGCCCACAAGCCTAGTGCACTACACCACTCCGTCCCGAGGACGTCTCGACCTTGGAGCTTGGGAGGAACGACACGTGAAAGCGGCATCGTAAAGGGGCAAGCAAGTCGGGGACTTGGAACACAGAAACGGTGCCATGGTTGGAGCAAAAAGGAGGGAGGAAGGGTTGCAGTGCAGGGAAGCAGCAATGCAATGCAAGGGGACGAACGGCTCCTTAGCGTCGGGAGACGGGGTACCAGAGAAGTAATCCAATGCCGCCGTAATCTGCGAGCCGCCATCGGCCCCATCCTACCTGGAGGGATCGGCGCACACGGAGGAGAGCACCGGCCTCCTGCCAGGCGCCTCTCCGGAGTTCCAAGTCGGCCAGCCCCGGTTGTGATCCCAATCGCCTGCCCACGTCCAAGAGCCGTACCGACACAAGCATCTCCCAGGGTCGGGGAGAACAGGCGGGCTGTAAATCAACAATCTCCCGTTCGCTTATCAACAAATGACATCAGACTGGGTGACAGAAGCCTCGCTGAGAAAGTGAGAAGGTGAGAAACAATGATTTGAAATTGAAAGAAAAGGTTTCGAGGGAGAACGGACGAGGGAGAACGGACAAGGGAGGGAAGAAGAAGAAGAAGAAGAAGAAGAAGAAGAAGAAGAAGAAGAAGAAGAAGAAGAAGAAGAAGAAGAAGAAGACGAAGACGAAGGAAAAGAAACAAGATGGAAGATAAAATTACAAAAAAAAAAAAAAAAAAAAACCGTCATCCAAACTCCCCCCTCCTTCGTCAACCGTGATATCCTGTAAATCAATCCAAGCACCCATCGCATCACACTACACACATGGCTGCATACACACACAGACATGTACATACCTAGGCGGAATACGCGCGTCCTTCGGCTACCGCGACCATGCTTTCTCAGAGACCCCGGTGCCGAGGCTAACGTGCAAGCGCGAAACGTTGTCGGCACAAGTGGCCAACTACCTTCCTTGCCGTTGATCTCCGAAAGCCTGGCGTCTCTGCGCATCAATGAGGAGCGAACCTCCAAAAGCAGAGATCGTCAATGTACTCCGTACACTCGCATACAATAGACACAGCCGCCCCCCCCTTCCCGCTTATCCTTCATTGCAACAGGCGCTTCGAGGGAACAACAATGCCATTCTCCCAATGCCGCCCACCCACCCCCGGCTCAAGCCACAATGACACAAGACCGCGTACGCTTGACGGGCTTGACAGTCTCTCTTCTCGAGAGAGTCTTCCCCCACTCCTCCCTGGCTGGCCCAGCGGCCATAAACGCAGCCAGTTTGAGAAGAAAGAAGAAGAAAAGGACAAAACGCTGCCATCCTTCGCAACCTAGACCCCCTCCCCTGGCCGAAATAGCCACCCGTTCTCCCCGTCTCGCCCTTCAAAGCCCGCTTCCCCCGTGGGAAGTCGTCCAGAACGTGAGGTGACGGCGCCCGTGTCCGATGTTACTGCGGTTTGGAACAGAGGCAGACGATAGGTACGGCAAAAGGCCGGGCCAAAATAGGCCCGCGTCGACGTCCTGAACCGGTCACCGAACCCCCCCCCCCTTCCCCCGTCTTCCTTCATCGTCGTCCGCCTGGAGAGAGCCCGCTATCCAAGTCAGCACTCCTTCATCTCTATGCGCGTCTGACCTGGTCACCCATCGATCCCCCCGGCTCCGCAGACTTTGTCCGTCATTCGTGGGGAGGATGCGGACCACGCCGCGGCCTTTGCTCCCCCCCCAATCTCCTGCCCCACGAGAGAGTGACCGATATGTCCGCCAAAAGTTTCGCCTCTTCTCCCTGCTTGCCTTGCCTCGCCTGTGCCGTTTTGCCATTTTGCCATCAACCATTTGCCGTTTGCACGATTTCGCCATTTGTCATTTGCCATTAATTGTCAGCCGTGCGTGTGTGTGTGTGTGCGTATGCGCGCGCACGTCTTTGCCTCGTTCCCCCTTCCCCCATCTTCTTCGCCCATCCTGACACCCAAGCAAGGGCTTTGCTACTACTCTCTTTCTACCTTGACCGAACCCCTCAACGATCAACTTCCCCTCTCTTTCTGTACGTGTGTACGTATGTGTATGTATATGTGTGTGTGCGTGTGTGTGCGTGTGTGGTGTCTACCAGCTTCATGGCTAAACGGATGAAGAAAAGGAAAATCCCGAGAGCGCGGAAATCGCGGGGTATCCGGCGGGAATAATTACCGGTACACGCCCTCTTCCTCATCGAGCCGGCCCCCCCCCTCCCATCCCTCCAAGCCCTTCCAGAAAAATCGACATACTTTCCGAGATACGACGCAGCTTTCCCCAACTTGTGCAAGTGATCTCCCCTTCCCATCACAATGCCTGCCAGCCCGCCCGCCCGCTCGCTCGCTCGATTACGTTTTCGGGAAAAGGGGGGGGGAGGCAACGGCACGATAACACATCGCACGGCAAGGCGCGACGGCAAATGGGCAACCAAAACATAAGGGGGGAAATGCAAATAAGAGAGAGAGAGAGAGAGAGAGGGAAATCAAAGGAAAAACAGACATTAGACGGATAAAACGTAGATTCAACGAGAAATAAAGTCTGCCTAGGTATCCCGCGTTAGGGGAGGGGAGGGTTCAATCGACATCTAAATGTGACGCCTCCCAAACAGAGAAACTCCTTCTGACATCGGCACCTCGGCCAGGAAAACAAGCGTCGTTTTGGTATACACAGATTAATGCTCACTCCCCCCGTCCCTCCTCCTGCTCCCTCCGCCTCGCCTTTCCTCTCATCTCTCTCTGCCCATCGAGCGCGGAATAACTAGTCCGTGTGAAGAATCCAAACCACAGCATATGAACAATCCAAAAAGGGGGAGGGGTTGTGTGGAAGTTGGCAGATACGTGGCATCATTTTCTTTTGCGACCGACTACAAGTCAAGAAAGAAAGAAGAAAAATGCCCGCAGCAAAGACTCCTAAAACACCACCAGCTTGCCCTCATATGTTTCGGAATGAACAGGAAAATAATTCAACTCCCAGTCTGCCCAGAGGTTTGATTGAATCTCAACAAAACCTACGCCCCAGAAATATGCCTCTCTTTTTCTTGCGCCGTTCGCCCAATTGGGTAGCTGGTTGTTCATCCATGACGTGGGGGGAAATGTCCGAATCATCTTCAAAGCAGAACTCGAAATCTCGTGCGTCCAATAGTCGTGGCCGTGAAGGCCTTTCTTTGCCAGTGCTTCTCTAATGCTGGCAATCATCAAGTCGTGACGTGTGGAAATGCTTGTGCCTCGCGGTAGCGGGCCCGTCGGATTTTGTGTGAATCAAAAGGATCGCGGGGGGGGGAAGGGGGCTACGGCCATAGACCCGAGCAGGTCCGTCGATAAAAGGGTGGAAACAAAAACAGGTCAATGTTGCGGGCGAGCTCACAGGACGACGCATTTGCTCTTGCCTTCCCTCCTGCCCACTTTGCGGCGGTAGCGGTCGCCGCCCTCCTTGTCGTCGTATCGCGCCCCGGCGTCGCCGTTGGACGGCCGGGTGTTGCTTCGCCCGCTGGGTTGGGGCCGCGAGGCTGCCTGGCGCTGCCTCCGGAGTATTCTGACGACGTCGTAAAAGGCCTTTTCGACGTTTATGCAGTTCTTGGCCGACGCCTCGACGAACTCGCAGCCGAGCTCGCGGGCCAGGGCATGGCCTTCTTGTGTCGACACTTCCCTCTCGGTGACTCTGTCGCTCTTGTTGCCAACAAGCATGATTGGCACGGGTGCTTGCGGGCTGACGGCCGAGATTGGCGAGCCGGGATATGAGGGTGAGGATGCACATGATTCCTTGACTCGCTGGATCTGATGGTGAAACCTCTTGATCCTTGAGAAGGACGACCGTGATGAGATGCTGTAGACGAGGACGAACCCTTCGCCATCTCGAATCCATTGATCGCGAAGGGCTGTGTACTCT